TAACATTAATATAAATGGACTCAAAAAAAACAAAAAAAAAAACAAAATATTTTTTTTGGAATGCAAATAAAACATAAGCACGGATCGTAATCTTTGTCAGAATCATAACAAAAAGAAGAAGAAGAAGAAGAAAAACATTTTGCTATAGATTTTTTGTCAAGATACTATGAATTTTGCTAAAGCAATATTCATAAAAAAAAATAAAAATTATCATTTCGAACTTTTCTTTTTTTCTTCATTAAGACAAGCTAAAAGAAAATTATGACGTTGATTTCGATTTGCATATTCATGTAAAATTGAAAGAGCTAATACATCAATACATATATTTAAAGTATTTTGTCCATCATTATCAAGTTTTTTTAATTGTTCTGATGTTGGCCAAGATTTTTGTAAAAGTAAAAGAAAACGAAAAAATAAATTTCTTTGTTTTGGTTGTAATTGTTCAATAATAAAACTAACAGCTTTTGTCATATTTTGTTGATGTTGTTGTTGTTGTTGTTGAGATGAATTTTCATTTGGTATATGTGATTGTATTGATATACCACTTGGTAATTGATATGAACGAATATTTGTATTATTATTATTATTACTTAAAAAAATTTTATCTTGTATATCACGTGATATTAATGGTTCAGGTAATGATTGTAATAAATGTAAAAGTATCATAAATAAATGAATAGTTGAATAATTTTGAAAATTATAATTATGTTCATATATTTGATTACGTATTGATATTAAATCAATTGAATCTTGAATATCATTATTAAATATATTAAATAAATTAATATCATTGCGTTCTTTTAAACAATCAATTAATGATATATATAATGATGGTGGATCATTTTTCATTTCAATAATACGTTCATTTGATTTTTTTTTATCAATTGAATAAATATATTTTTTTCGTTCACTATCATCACTAGTCGACGATCTTGCCTCTCGTCTTTCCAGATTCTTGATTTTCTTGTTTATCAGGCAAGATTCTTTTGCCATTCCTTCTATACAAGATTCTTGCCTGAAAAATAAGATCTGGACCTTCTGGTGATATTCTTGTAGACAGAATCTTGTCTGATAAGACAAGAAATGCCTCACCAGACAAGATTCTTGTGTCCTTGTATTCCTGACTGATTCTTTATTTTCTTGACTTCTTGTCTGATTCTATTTTTCTTACAATTCTTGCTTGAATCTTTTTCTTGAAGTTCCTGGTTGATTCTTGTGATGCCAATGAGCCCTTTCTTTATATCAATATAATTTTCTTCTTTCATTACTATTATATGTATTATGATACGTTTCAAATAAAATATCACAAAAGTACACAACAAGTGAAAAATTATACATGAATTTCATATATAGAGAAGAAAATCAAACAAAAATGAATGAAAAACTAGCAGCAAAAAGCCTCATTTCAAAGTTCGTCGTCGTCATCATCATCTAGATTTACATTAAGATTATAGTTATCATCATCGATTAAATTGTCTTCATAATTATCATCATTAGTAATTAAAGTATTTTCATAATTATTATTTTCAATAATTGAATTATCTTCAAAATTTTCATGACGAGATGATAAATACAAATCTTTTTCAATCTACAGACACATGGAAAAATATAAAGATTTTACCTTAAAATAGTGCAGTTAAAATAAATTATTTACAACTTGTTCTACAGTTGGAAGAGGTAAACGTAGGTGAGTGGAGTTGAGCGTGTGTTTTCGATGTTGTCTCCATCGTCTTTGCCTTACTGTATGCGGCGATGGCTCTAAAACAAATATGTGACTAAAAAAAAAGAATATTATAGATATCGATCAATACTACCTAAATCAGCAACAATATGACTGAAAAACAAATTACTTGGATCTTCTGAGTTGATCTCCATCAGAAAAAATTTCTACAAACGAAAAATAAATGTTGGTGACAAATGCAATTCTTTGAAAACAAATGATTGTTTCCCCTTTACGTCCAATAGAAAAAGATAATTGATAGATGCCTTTTCAAAATGATATCGACTATCTTGAAATATTGCTGTAATTATAAATGAATAAGTAACGGTTATACGTCTATATTTATATACGTATTTGAACGAACAGATCACGTGCTATATTGATCTTGACGGTCAGATACAAATCATGTAAAAGAAGAAAAAAAGAAGCTTGAGGGTGTGGGTGTAGGTGTGGGGTGTGGGTGTGGGTGTGGGTGTGGGCGTGGGTGTGGGTGTGGATGCAGAAGAAAATAAGACTGACACTCACACCCCCACCCCAACACCCAGACACACCCTACACCCAGACACACCCTACACCCACGCGCACTCACATCCACACCCCACACCCACACACTCACATCAACACCCACACACACCTCACACCCACACATCCGCACCCACATCCCATCCACACTCACACCCACACCCACACTCACACCCACACTCGCACCCAATTCATGCATTATTTTATATTTCTACACCGGAGGCGACAACTCTTTGGAATATAATTGAAAGTTTCGAGCCGAAAAATCGACTAAACCGTTCGAAAGAGATTCAGCTTTGTGACATCACAGTATTTCTAATTTTTTTCTGAAGTTGCTGAAGCTTAGTCTGGATGGTCAACGTATAAGGGTGATTCGGTCCAAGTGATTGAAGAAAGATGTTGAGGGCGCGCTGTGCGAACTCCATAGCTAAATGTAGTTGATGGAGATTCTCATGTGCATTGGCGATATTACTGTAAGTGATAGCCAGATCAGAATGATTGGGGGGAAGATATTTTTGTTGAATGTTGATTACTTTTTCATACAAGGAAAGTGCACGTGAGTGTTCACCTAGTGAATTATACGCTCCAGCGATATTGTGGTAGGTAGCAGCTAGATGACGATGATTAGGATGCATCTGTTTTAGGTCAATTTCAAGCGCCTTTTGATAGAACAGCAGTGCATCTGAATAATTGTTCATATGTTGATGAACTAAGCCAATATTACTGTAAGTAGTAGCTAGATCAGGATGATTAGACGGGAGAGATTTTACTTTAATGTCCAGTAGTTTTTCATACAGCGACAGTGCAATCAAATATTCTTTCATCTCTTGATAAACCGCAGCGAGATTGTCGTAGACAGCAGCTAGCTTAGGATGAGTAGGAGGAAGAGATTTCTCCTGAATTTCAAGCGCTTTCTGACAGAAGAATTGTGCCTTTGGATAGTTTCCCATACGCCGTTGGACAAGACCGATGCTGGTATATGTATTGGCTGTATCAGGATGATTGCCAGGAAGAGACTTCTTGTAGATTAGAAGGGCTTTTTTATGATACGAAAGTGCATCCGAGTAATTACTTTTCTCTTCCTGGATGCAACCGATGTTGCTATAGGTGGAGGCTAGATCAAGATGATCAAGTGGCAGACATCTTTTTTGAATTTCGAGCGTCTTTTCATAACACGCGAGTGCTTTGTCATAGGCTCCCATCCGTCGATGAATTGTACCAATATTATTATAAGTAACGGCTAGATCAGGGTGATTGAGAGGGAGAGATATTTTTTGAGTAGCAAGTGATTTCTCATAGAAAGAAAGCGCCATATCGTATTCTCTTAACGACATATGGACTCCACCGATGTTGCCATAGATGATAGCTAGATTAGGAGGATCAACAGGAAGAGATTTTTGTCGAATGGCTAGTGCTTTCTGATAAAAACAGAGTGCACTCGAATACTCTCCCATCGAATCATGTACTGCACCGATATTGCAATAGGTGTCGGCCAATGATGGATGACTGAGAGGAAAATATTTCTCTCTTATATCCAACGCCTTTCGATAATAGGAGAGGGCACGTGCGTAATGACCCTTCATTTTGTTAATATATCCAAGCTGATGATAAATGATAACAACTTTCGTGAAATCGTTGTCAGACGTCGAAGCGAACAATATCTGGTAAGCTTCTTCTGCCTGGTCGAACTTGCCCATTCGAACCAGCATATGGCTGAATCGGTACCATCCAGGATGTTTTCCGCTTTGCTGTCGGATGTAATCAGTGAGACAAGTCAGTTGTTGATCATTGTCTGACGTCAGTGTCAACTCCACATGCCAGATTCGATCCTTGATAGGTAGTATTTTATCAATACGAAATACAGTATGCATTGAGAAGAGAACTTCCATTTCTTCTGGAAACTGACTGATCTCTTCCAATGAAGCAAAAGGAGTTGAGGCAATATCAGGTTGGATTTTCATTTCAAACAGAATACCGATGAGATCATCTACGCTTTCTTGTGCACTCTCGGCAAACCTGAGGGAAACTTCTCGATGCCTACTTGTTGATAGGAAGTTGTTGAACGACAGCAGACCTCCAATGCTGTTGATCATCGTCTTAAAATCGTCTTCTAACATGCCTTGACCTCGATAAACAGTCATCATTTGAGAGTTTTGCATTGATTTTGTATGGACACGTTCGATCTGTTGATGTAGAGCTTTCAAAAAGAAACCCATCTTCATAATTATTTGAGTATCTAATGTCCTCAAAGCTCGGTTGAGCATAGAATAGATAAACCCTTCTTTCGTATACCACCAAATCGGTGAATGCAGATGATAGTCGTGCTCAAAATCATTGATCATCTTGAGGCGGATGTCGTCAACAACATATTGAGCACGGCAAAACTCAGCGAAATCTTTCTTTGCTATGGTATCATCTTGTTCGACTTCGAGAAGACTCTCTTTGAGCAACTGGGAATACATAAATGATGGATCAATACGATTCAAATCAAGATCGGTATGAGAGACCGACGGAATAATACTAGTGCAAATCGAACATCTGTCATGCTGCTCAATCTCTTGCTTGATTGCACGACATAGGAGTTGCATCTGATCGAAAACTCCTCTTACTTTGTTGTATGTCTTCACTGCATGCTCAGACTCAGGATTACAGTCACATAGAACATAGATTGAGTTGATCTGAACTAAGTCTTGGATGAAAGATACAATCTGTTGTGCAAATTCGTTCGAAATAATCATAATGATTCCTTGGTCTTGAATATTAGTGAGAAAGTCAATACACATATCAGCATCACTAAATGTATTAATGGAGTATACTATACATCGAAGATCATCGATAGCACTGAGATAATTTGTATCAGATTCGTTTACATTTTTACAGAGACAAACGATAATAAAGTTTTGATTGATGCATAAGCGTGATTTTCTTGTTTGATTCGTAGGGTTTGCACTATTGGAGGAGACAGCATCTGTTATAGTGCTGTTCTCGCCAGATGACACCATGGTGGTCATCAGTTTTGTGTTTTTTTCACTGATTCACGAACAATAATATGTTCGTGTATCTTCGGCACTTTGACAATGAATGTTATAAATGTTTCTTTTACAGTGATGCCGTCGTGAGAGCAATGAAGAAATAGAATTGTAACCACACGCAAGTTTTCTGTAGAAAAAAGTGAAATTTGTCGTGTTCGAATTGTACTGGACTGGGTAAAAAAATAAGTTTTGCTCAACAGTTTTTGAGATCGGAGGAATGCCAGTCAACAAATCAAACATTGCCATTTTCCGTGAAAAACTAGCGCTTTGTATTCTTTACAACGACGACATCGATACATTTCTCTTCCAATTCCATGCTTCCGCTCGAGTTGGAACGGAAAAGAAAAATTGTTGCTTTTCTAATTCATCTATTTGGCCATGATCAAATGACTCTCTGAAAATATAGGAAAATCAGCGCACATCGTGAAAGCAAACTATTTAACCCTGGGCCATTTTTATTCGTCTTTCTCACCGACTAAAAGCTGATTGCAATAGCTATTATAATTGAAATCATGTTTCTATTGATAGAGTAGGCCAAAAGGTGTTTTGTAGGAGAACAGCAAGAGTGGTGGCGAACACTAAGTGTGATGTTTGATTAAGCGGCTCATACATATACAGTGCTGGCCAAAAGTCCCTCACCCCCCTGAACTTCACTCATAATAAGAGCTAGACAGCTGAAATTTTGTATGCATATACCCTATGATGAATGCTGATCGCAGGCACAAGCTCCGTCATAATTGCTCGAGTTGGAACGGAGTTATAATAGGTAGTAGTCATATCCCTTGTGAAACTCATAATTCGAGAAAGGAAAGACCGTTTGAGTCGGTCAACATCTCATTGTGTAGCACTCTATTCTAGCTATCTACAGTATAAATTTCAGGGTGTGGGTGTGGGTGTGGGTGTGGGTGTGGGGTGTGGGTGT